CACACGATAACAGCGCCCCACTCTTAAGGAATACATAACGGCGACGCTAGCAACTTTGTTACTTAGGTTGGAATAAATTGAGACCCCCCCTAAATGAAAAAAAAATCACTGGTCGTAATCCTTATCGTGGAGCTGTTATCGTGTGACTGATTCGGTAAAACCTTAATTTTGGCTGGGGGGCCCAATCCTAATAGAAGGGTGCCGTGACACGGAAACACACAGTGCCATACAGGCGCGAGGCGATGGCAATGCAAGTGCGTAAAAAAAACCAATGCAATTTTACAGCGGGTATATGATCAAACGAAATAAAACTTGAAACATAAAAAGCAGGCTGACGAAGCTGCGCATCCTGGCCATTTCTGCCATACGAGGAGTTTAAGCAGGGATACTGCGTCTAAACACCTTGATTCAAGCATCTGCAGATGCGACTGTGGGGCAGTCGAAGATAAAATGCACGTTGAGAGAGGTGATCCAATGGATCACCATCCACACTTGCAGCGCGCCAGAGATCTTCCATGCCATAAATACCAGGGGCTTTCACAGCTATGAAGCACAACCCAATAAGCAGGACATGCCTCGTGAAACGATGTCTACGTATGATATTGAGCCAAAAGATGTTAACATGTGCGCAAAACAATAGGCTCATTCATACAAAGCCCGAAGCCCGAGAATTAACAACAAGCAGGCAGAGCAAACACGTCCTTGGAAGGAGTAGCTGAGAGAGGGGATCCAATGGATCACCATCCACCCTGGCAGCGAAGCAGAGACCTTCAATGCCATAAATACCAGGGGCTTTCGCAGCTATGAAGTACAACCCAATAAGCAGGACATGCCTCGTAACACGATGTCGACCTATAATGTTGAGCCAGTAATGTTAGCACGTCCGCATAGTAGAAAAATTATTCATACAGTTTCCGACATTTAACCTACAAATATTATATAAGGACGCATACCACGCGACTGCCTTTGGAACCGTCCCTCAATGTCGTGCAGTTGGTTCCGGAGGAGGCGCGGACGCCATCCATACGTCTTCGTGTCTAGACCGTCCTCGTCAATTTTTGCAGATTGTTTTATCGCAATTTTACTGATCAGCAGACGCCTGTCAGAAGCATGGCTGGAGCTCCTGGAGCGTATGGCTTCCGTGATCAGGAGCATGAGCGCACACATCACACGCGACATCACTTAGTATGACATGGCATAGCAACTTTCTAACCCAGTCTGAACGGTAGCTGGATTTGATAGTCCTCCTACATAGCAGTATCCTAATTGCCAATCATTGCGGTGCCCTAATCTTAATCCAATACCAGTGTACTAATCGTAATCCTGGATATAGGTATTTATCCTAATCCTGGGGCCGGGTCCCAATCCTAATCCTGGGGCCGGGTCGCAATCCTAATCCTGGGGCCGGGTCCCAATCCTAATCCTACACTCGGGTCCTCATCCTAAACCTGGCCTCAACTTTGTATCCTAATCCTGCCCCTCTTTCCGAATCCTAATTCCTGCCTGACCGGTACCCGAACCCAATCCCTAATCTTTGCATCCCTCTGTTTTGACAGCATTCCTGTAGAATGGAAAATGGCATTCCATATCGCAGCCACCCAGGCCCAGATAAACCACACGTGCCTCACAATCTACATGCACCCCACCTTCTCCACCTTCAGCAAATGGATGCCTCTGGGTGTCTGCTTCTGCTCAAATTGCTGGCAGCTTCACAAAGGTGCACAACGTGCCGATGTAAGGCTTGGGTTCTTGCCGGCTCTCATTACCTTCTGTCGCCGTAGCTCCTATGAAGGAGCGGAGGACTATCCCGAGAAAAATCTGCGTGCGTCGGTGCGTCCGTCCGTCCGTCCGTGCGTGCGGAGCGTTTTGGAAATTCGGGTGAACTAGACCAGGAAGTAGCGGCTACGAGGGGTTACGACCAGGTAGGGGAGGGGGGAAGAAGGTCGACACAACAGACTTAAATACTCTAACCAGCCAGTTGGACTTGGTAAGACGATCACATAATACACAACGCAAGCATTTAGCTGCATTTAGCTGGTTCCACAGTTACGTTAGCTGAGCTCCCTTGTAACTACGAGATGCATGACCGAGATGCATGACCGTTCGGATGCTACGCTTCGTGCCAACACCGGCTCCACCTGGCTGTGACGAATTGGTTAAGGAAATCCGCGTCACTCCTTTAGAGTCGTATGGTACGTATTTGTTTGTGCCAAGGGAGGTTGGCGTGCTGGTGTCGGCGTGCAGCCAATTCCAATTCCAATTCCGAAATGAAAGTCAGTCGTTGGAGCCCAATGTGGTGGGTCTGGTTGAACCCGCAGCTCGCGGCCTTACGCTGCTGAGCATCTGTGGGGGGTTGGACGTCCGTCCATCCATCCTTGAGAACAACTGACTACTCAACACATACATATGTATGTAACCAACCGGTCACCTGCATGCGGCTCACACATCTCCACACTCGAGCTCTCGTGCACGTGCACATGTCGTGCCACATACTTCAAGGCCCCAGCAGGGCAGCACGTTGTGGAGCCTAGCCCGCTTAGAGTGCATGTGCCTCCTTCCACCTGGGAGCCCCCTGGAGCAAACCAGTCCAAATCAGGTAATGGATGGCGTAACGTCGTGCCCGAATTTCTCCGTACTGCCGCCATACTGGCATAATCTGTAGGTCCCGGCCTGCTGCTTCCCGCTGCTTCCCGCCCTCCCCCAAGCTATTTCGGCTCATCAAGCACCACCACCACCACCACCACCACCACCATCCGAACAGCCCTTGGGCAAACAACATAAACCAGGAGGCAGTTGGTGGCCATAAGTACCGCTGTACAGCACGTGTGTACGTTTGTGCACGTGAGAGAGTGCGGACAATGCTCATCTGTGTGCAGTACCAATGATGCAATCCCCTATATGCATAGTGTGTGTGGGTTGGTGGATAAACATATAAAATATTGTTCGTAGAAATCAATCCAGCAAGCAGTACAGTACACGAGCAGTTGCATAGCAGCGCAAGGCTTCTGGTTATAACGGTCATAACTGAAAAAAGCTGCGGCGTGTGGGTTGTAAAGCAACGGTATTCGCCAGGCGCTCAACCAACCATGCAACCGAGCAAATATCAATCGTGCACACCTCTCGAGACACAGCCCACATGTCAGCTGCGCTAGCAAGCCCGGGATCAATTACCCTGCAATACAGGCACTGCTAACTTAATGCTCGTATACTGGCTATTTTCAGTTATTATAGTTTTCTGTTACTGGCTCTGTTACGAGGTCACCTAGCCGCACCGGTTTCAAAAAAGCAAGAGTATATTGCGACTCCTTAATTGCTGACAACCCTTGACAGCTTGCACCATGCGTATTCAGCCTGGCTTGAAGTTCGTTCCCTACAACATCTCCTCCTCCTCCTTCTCCTCCTCCGCGCCCTCGTCGAGTGCATCTCTCTTCAAGCCGTGCGACCCCCAACGGGCATAAACACCAACCCCACAGCACAACGAGTATATATACACCGTCAATCAGCTCGCACCGACCTAGCGCATCAGACAAATAGCCGGCAGCGCTACAACCCTAGCCGCGGTAGGTCGTGTCCTATACGATTCTGTACGATGCCGTACCATGCCGTGGAGTGAAAAGGCGCACGAATCAGTGAACCTGAAAATTCACCCGTTGTATGCACGTCCAGCCTGTCGACACCTCATAACGTCATTTTTGTCCTCTTCGTCATGGGGAATTTCGAAACTGCCAACATTCTATACTTTGAACTACACGCATTCACAATGGACGAGGTGAGATATTCACACTACATACAACCTGTGTGTATGTATATATGTGTGTATGTATGTGCGTGTGTGTGCATGGATGCACACTTTCAAGGACATGTGTGATGATCGGTGCATTGTACGGGCCAGGTACGACAGCACGGCGCCGTTACGCTTCCCAGCTCAGCTCTGGGCCACTACAACTAAGGACCAGGACCAGGACCAGGACCAGGTCGAGCACTAGGAAGCCAGCAGCAGGCATCAGGACAGGGCGCATCATGCAATCAACGCCTTAATCCAGCGCCTGCAACGCGTTGCGGTCTTCCGAGGACAATCAGGCTTAGTAGCACCTAGTGCGGGGCTGCTCCCACAACTTCCTAAGCCCCTTCATTTATCACTAGGTCAGTCACCCCTTCGGCGGCTTAGCTTGCATGTCGCCGCATTGACCGTTCACAGCCTTGTTAGAATGCATACGGTGCGAGATAGGATGGTGCTTATAGGCGATCGGGCAACCTTTGAGCCCTCGGCTCGTATTAGGGCGGTTTGCAGGTACGGGGAACGCACCCCCACGACCATGTAACACAACAACAACAACAACAGCATATGGTGCCGAATATGATGCAGGTCGAAAAATCTTCTCCCAAACCGTGAAGCTTTAAATATTCTCGTGGTTTTCGCAATGCCGTGCGCAAACACATCACCACATCTAAGCCGCTTTGGACGACAAGCTCTAGGCAGCGAGGACGGTACGGTCGATTCAGTGCAGTCCATTTCGGTGCGCCTTACTTTCTTACCTGCCTATGTACGTATGTATGTATCTATCGGAATGTCTGAGACCTCAAATACATGTCTGGTCCCGATCTGCTGATAAACACAGTACAACACAGCACAGCACAGGACAGTACTGGACAGTACTGGACAGCACAGGACAGCACAAGGCAGCACAACACAGCACTTGTATGCAACAGCGGCACAATGCCAATCGGCGAAGAAGGCTATCGTTCACACTATACTGCCGACGAGTGCTTGCTAGCTCAGCTCAGCTAGATCCAAATGGAGACCGGCGCCGCAGTGGGGGGGGGCTGTGGGTGCGAATGCGAGCGAGCCCTGGGGTGTGTCTGCTGGTGCTGCCGGGGCGGGGGATGCTGCTGCTGGTCCTGCTGGTTCGGCGGATGCTGTTGCAGGTACGGCGGGTATTGCGGTGTTTCGTCAAGCACTAGGGGACCTTGCATCCGCAGGGAAGTGCCCGGACGCTGCACTTCAGCCAATGCGCGGGTGGCTGCCTTGGCAGCCCTGTACGACACTCCCTGGAGATGCAGCGCCTCGGTGCTTGAATTCCGCATGGCAGAGGCCGCAACAGCAGCGGCAGAGGCCATAGCAGCAGAGGCGGCGTCATTCTCCGGCATGTACGGCAGACCCCAGACGCCCTCCACGGCATCTGCTCCTTCGTTCCGATGGTGCACCCCGGGCAGCGGGACACTGATGGAGCCGGTGATGCCCCCCAGGACAACACCAAGGCCGCCGCCGCCGCCGACCCCACCGCCGCCGTCAACCCAGTCCGCACCGCGGGCCTTCCAGTATCCAGACGCATTGACGCTGATGCCCGGCAACGCCGTACCTTGGGCGGGCATCCCGCCAGTGCCTGTGCCCGTGCCGCCAACGCCAACGCGCCGGCTGCTCCAGCGCACGACCGCCCCCGTCATCGTATCCGCCACGGCAGCAAGGCCATCCGCTTTGTAACGCTGCGCCACAACCACCTCCCGGCGCAACTGCAAGGCGCGGTCCAGATGCGCCATCGCTTCCGGAGGCGGCGGCGGCACGGGCGCTGGCGGTGTCATGGGCGACGGTATGGCATGGAGTGTAAGCGAGGTGGGGGAGGGCGGCGGCAGGACCACGTCCAGCAGCCGGCTGATTCGCTCGTTGAGGGGCGGGTTGTGGGTGTTGCCCCGGTGGAGGAAGGCCAGGTTGTCCGCTAGACAGCGGGTGCGGTGGCTGTGGAACCGTCGTGGAGGCTGTGTTTTAGTATCGGCGGGGGCCTGTGTGCGCTGAGGCGCTGGTGCAGCAGCTGAGGCGGCCGGGGTGGCGGGCTTGGTCGGGGTCCCGGCGGTGGGGGCTGTACCACCCAGGCCTGTGATCCTCAGGGCGACTGTGGGTGCTGCGGCGAAGGAGGTGAAAGCTGCGGCGGCGCTACGACGGGAGGAGACAAGGCGGGCGGTCGGCCATCGGGGCTTCAGCGGCGGCGGCGTGGAGGGCGGTGGAAGGAAGCCGTACGGCTTTACTACAGAACCGGCCGGCGCTGCAGCTGGTGTGGGCTCCAACGGGATGATCTGGGTACCGCTGATTCCGTTGACGACGGCGCCGCCGCCAGCAGCTGCGGTTGGTTCTGTTGGTTGTGGGCCCCAGTCCGCGCTGTTTGTCGCAATGGATAGGCGGCCTTTGTAGGTGAGCATTCGGCTGGGCGGTGCGCTGTTGGCTCGTTGCAATGAGGCGGCGGCGGCAGCGGCGGCAGCGGCAGCGCCGGCTTCCGAAGCCACGGGCTCGTTAGGCAAGGAATTCTGCTGTAAATGCGGTGGGCATGTCTGCGGTTGAGTGTACGGATAAAATGGACCGTACGGCATCCCTCCAGGGGGGCTGGCCCGCACATATGTAACCATGGATCCGGGGGCTGCAGCGGGCGCTGCCAGCGGCATGCAGGATGGGGGTGGGATGCCCACGGGGGATCGGACGGGGGTGGGAGAGGGAGTGACGGTGGGGGAGGGGGGGCACGCAGGCGAGAAAGGGGGTGGTCCCAGTTCAAGATGTCCGGGGGACGCCGGGTCGTGCGCGGTCGAGCGGGCGAGAGAACCCGGGCTCTGAGCTTGTCGGCTGGAGTGCGCGCCGCCTGGCCTAGCGGTCGGTGGACTGGGGGTGCGACTTCTCATGTATTTGGGAGAGCTAGGATCGGTGTAGAAAGAGGGGGAGGACGACGGAGCTGAGGAGGTGGAACGACTTGGGTCATCGCCTTCTACGATTACTCCACCATAACTGCGAGCAGCGGGTTCAATATTGAAATCCATTCCTGCTATTTACTCAGTATGCTGGGACCTCTAAGCGCGTTGTCACCGGCGTAAGGACTATCGCATCGATGTTGCAAATGAACGCCGCAGCAATATGGGATGGCCTGAATTAACAGGTCTAATGGCCATATTCCTCCCCATTGGCGTCAGGATAAGGTGGATAGCAACGGATAAGGTCCAACCATGTGACAAATCTACCCAGGTAAGAAGCAGCAGAAGAGCGCCCACAGCAGCGCTAAGGCAATATAAGCTGAAGGTTACTCTAGATATGCGAGCTGTAACCTGACACATGTGATTGACTGCAGGGCGCGCCACCGTGTACAACAGGAGCAACCATTGAGCAATGGAACCCATCAGTAGGATTTCCCTCCATGTGTTCAACACATCAGCGTATACATAGGTAATGTTGGGCTCGTGCATATGGGGATGACCGGCTTCCAGAGGATGCTCCTCACGTACTGTACCTGTTCAAGATGGAGGACACATAACCACATGACTCCCATATATTTGAAATCATTCCTTATTTCTGTGATTGCTTATTGGAGACCTTGTTTGGCTTTTCGGCAGACGGGGGACCATATTCCGATACGGTTGCAATGAGAAAGCGTAAAGACACGAGCTGTTTGAACTCTGATGTGATAATACCATTACTGCAGACAAACTGAATTTTATGGAAGACATGTAGCAAAACGTTGCCCAGACGAGTGCGAGAACTTGTGTCCGTAACGTCGGGCAGGGAGCATGTTACATATGGCCAACAATCAACTTAACCACAAATGCAAACAATGAAAACGGAATCAATTCACTGAACGCTCCACAGCTTAATCTAGGAAACCTGCCGTCGAATGCAGCTAGGTCCTGCAGCTGCCTTCGCATGACTAGCTGCTGGCCGGTTGCAAGGCTCCGTGCGCGCGCCGCGCAAGCCACCACGAGCCGTATGTCGCTTGGGCTGGGACCTCTCCCGATGCAGAACTTCCTCCGTGGCTGTGTGCCGGAATCCAGGTTATCGCGCAGTCAGACCAGCAGCATTGAGATAGTCCGGCAAATGGTTAGCGGATTTGCTTCCAGACGAGTTCATCTCTAAACACTCAAATAATCCACATTGCGAAACAATGCAGGAAATGAATTCCGATCCGACAGGTAGGCAGCTTACGCAATTAAGTGCAGAGCTCGGTGGGACAGCAAGCAAACGTATCATGAGATGAAGTAGTATATATTGCAATCGATGTTCTGTTCATTAGCCCCAAGCTAAGCCCTCAGGCTGGTCGGTTTCGCGAACAGCGCCGTCCTCTCTCACGTAGTAGCGAGGTACACACCGCGGCCTTTCTTTGATCTCATTCAGGATATAGAATCCCCCGGGATTTCCGGAAACCCGGCAGAAGTCACAGGCGACCAACACGCAAATTAAGGGGGAAAGAGTGATACGCATGGCCGCTGGCTCATGCATGCAGGTCTCCCACTCACACTTTTGGCAGCCCCAAATTGTTGCCACGTACACAAGGGCTCCATCGTCCGGTGTGTAGAGCTCGTGCGTGCCATGTTCACTGTTTTGGCTTTTAGCCTGGTTACCATTTGTGTCTGTCTGTCTGTCTGTCTGTCTGCCACTCGGACGCAGCCGCCTTCGCCGTTGGCACCCCCGACTGCACCGGGATAGAGTCTTTCCTAGTTACCAGGGATAAGGCGGCTGATGCTAAGGCACTGCCGGATCGAACCGGTGAGGTCGCCAGTCGACTGCACAAGGCTGTTGGCGTCCTATGCAGGCATTAGCTGCGTATGCGCCGAAGACTCAGCCGTGACTGCCGGCCCCCTTGCTTTGTGCGCACGGCACGGCGCCTCTGCGTCGCCGCGCAGAGACGGCTCGGCCGCTGCTAACAGCCGTATGGCGCACTAGGCTTCCCACACCGGTCATCAGGACCCTTATGATGGAGCAGCCTTAAGTCGCTATCACCACCCCGCTTTACTTACCTTACCGCGTACCATGGTCGACAACATGTATTGCTTCTTCGCTGCGGCGACTGGAGGACCGAAACGGGGGAGGGTACCTTGGCAGCTGAAGACAATCTCCTCTATGGTAAACACCTCGCACGTGGCGGTGGGCATCGCCTTCTGATTCAGGAGAGCCCCCTGCCCGGGCAATCCAAGGTTTGATCATCGCGCGGTCCGAGCCGTCTAGCTCGTTGTGATGTCTATTAACTGGATATGGCTGAAGAACTGTGGTTTCATAGCTTTTGCAGCAAGCATTTGTTAATTTCAAAACGGACTGCGGCGTTGACCCCAGCACACTAGCCGTGCAAGCCGAATGCATCAACCAACGCGGCTTAGGACGTCCAGGCGACATGACTGATGTACAGCCGCAGCCTTGCGGCCCTCACTTTCAATTAGTAACAACTCTCGCACTACTTATGAAACGATTTTGTCCACCATATCTGTGAGATTCGATTTGGTGCAATTGTGACTAATTGACGACCTGCTTACATATTGTCGGAAGATTACTATCGACAAAAGCCAAGTGGCTACATTACACTTTAGTTTTCCAATGCAGTGGGCAGGGAGCATTTTCCCTGCTCCCTGCTCCACTGCTGGCTCGACAAAGCCAGTTAAGGAGTGCGGTCAGGGCACCAAATCATATTGTAATTCAACTTGTGCCTTGTATTAGGATGTGGGTTAGAATTATGAACATCTCTTCGGCAGAACAGCACGGCCTACCATCGAATCCCGTATACATATCTTCTGGCAGTCGAGTGAAATCGATACGCACAGGATAAAGTGGGAAATCCTAAACACTTGATTGACGATAAATAGGTTTAAAAATATTAGAAAGGATATACCGGGTAAGGATAGTGCACGATATCTGGGGTTAGTGTCTGGGCCGGAACGGCAGTTCTGGGCCTGCCGTCAGCAGTTGTATGACACAGCTAGAGCAGCTATGTTCGCGTTGAGTGCAAAATTAGATAAGCTAAAGTTGTTCGCCCCAGATGTGAGGATGAAGTGTTTCGATACGCAGGTACGAGCAATACTGTTGTATGGTTGTCAAGCGTGGGGGCCGTTTATGCTAGCTGAGGTATCGGACAGGCTCAGGAAGCGGAGTGATGCGAATAACCTTGCAGAGGGGCCCTTCGAGGCATGCCTAAAGGACAGAGCAGTGCAGCTTCAGATATCTTTCATGCGGCAAATTGTAGGAGCTGCCAGACCAACACACCGCCTCCTGTTCGCAGAGCTATCGCAGCTACCCCTACACTACCACGTTCTCAAGCAGGTTGTGAGGTTTTGGAATCATGTCCGTTTACAGCGTGGGTCTGTGGCACACCAAGTTTTGCGACAGGAGGTCGCAGAATCCCCCTCCAACCCCGAAGGGGCCGGGTGGGGGACACTACTACTCCGTTTTCTATGTTTTTTGGGGCACGACGTATGGAAAGAGGCCCCGCAAGGGCTACATGAGGTAGACGAACGAGTGGAGTGGCTGATGAACAGGCCAATGCCAGAAGGTGTGATTTTGGAGTTGAAGGACCGATTAGCGGGTGGTTGGAAACATACGCGTTTAGATGTCCAGCCTGACGTGTATCCGTCAGACGGCAAGCAACCAGGAATCCACATGGCGAAGTATAAGCATTGGATGGGTCTGGCGGCCTAGCAAGCGGGCAGGAAGGAGGTGCTCCCGCATATCACAATGTTTATCCCGCGTTCGGCGAATCGCAAGCTTATGCAGTTTAGGTTTTGCTGTTGGGCACTGGCGGCTAACAGAGCGCGTAAGGGACGGCGTTATATACCTAGGGAGGAGCGAGTATGCCCTTGCTGCGGCACTGATAGCCATATCGAGGATGAGAAACACATTTTGCTGGACTGTCCGGTGTACGACGAAATCAGATCTGTTATGGGCTTTCCACGCTTCGAACATATGAAGGACGCTATGAAGTGGGAACCTGAACGCCTGGCAAGGATGCTGGAACGCATATGGTCCCACCGCAACTCTATCGTTCCCTTTGGTCGTTAGTATACTTCATCACTTGTTTCGTTGGAAGTGCGAGGTAGGATGGTGCTTATAGGCGATTTGGCAGCCCTTGAGCCCTCGGCTCGTAGTAGGGTGGTTTGCAGGTACGGGGAACGCACCCACGACCATGTAACAACAACAACAACAAGAAATGATATCTTCTCCTTGAGATCTCAGCACGAGAAAATCCCTAACTCGTACGTACATGGCGTGCGCTGGTTCACAAGCTGACACAGCGTTAAGCTTATATATAGGAAGGCTAAAAGCTGTACTCAGCGACTGCCGATTCTCCTGATGAAAATTGCTCCAGCAAGCATTCTGGCGGCGTGCCCATTCCTTCCCTCAGCTTGCCGGTACAGCTTATGACTTCTTCGCTGCAGGCTCCCAGGGAGGATGGACAGGGCGATGCATATGCAATAATCCTGAGCAAAGGCTTCAAAGCACACTACTAAGGCCCCGCCTCGGAAGTTTAGTTTACATTCCCATGGAACTCGTCCCCACCCCTCTTAAGGGTGGTTTAAGTTGCCTTTGTACAACCGTTAAGACAGTCGCCGGCCAAAAGAATCAGCCAAACAAATACCATCACGGCTTGGTAGCACACCACAGCACAGCAGTGCAGTCGGACTACAGCACCGCCGACCTGGCCAACCCCTCAAATGCTCTCGCCTCCTCTTTCATTTGCGGCCCCATTCGCCCGAGCGATGAGATGGTGCGCCGCTTGAGTTTGCCAGCAACGGCAGCTACAGCTATTTGTTGGGCAAAACTTGTTCATCCAGAAAACTCGCTGCAGCGCGCATATGTGCAATCATAACTCATTCCAACGCCATCCATTTTCCCCTCCTTACCATCACCTCCTAGATCTGCGACTCCTGCTCAACACCACCTGTTGCTTGCCTCAAACTCACTCATTCAGCGGTTAGCGGAGAGATTTACACGGCGCCGCACGTCCCACTTCACAGCGCGCTGAAGGACATGCCAGGGAACCAGCTCTACCTTAAGTTTCATCTCAACGGACAGTGTAACTACACAGCTCACCGCCACCATGGCCACCGTCTCCTCCTCGTGCCCCGGTATATAGATTCGCTGAAGACGCTCCTGCGCGGTCAGACGACAAGAGGAAGCCATTTGGTTGACTCCCACGTCGGCCACCTAAATCTGATGACACACTCCAACTTAAAAAAAGGACATCCATTACTCGGTGGCCATCCATTGAGTTTGAAAGGGTTGTGTGAGGAGCCTGCCCCGAGCCATTAAAGGACATTCCACCAACTTCCAGCACTGTGTACAACCACTTTCCTTTCTTGAGTTTATTGATGGTGGGTCCAACCTATCTATAATTCGACGACACTTTTTCACGTCTTCCTCGTTCGTTCGTCCTTTCTTCTTCCCTTCGCCGGCAACGTTGCCTCCTCGTCTTCAATACAGTGGGGCCGGCAGCAGCTGGGGTGCCACAGTTCACCGGTTCGAGTCCAGCTACCCCCATCATAACCCGACGCCACCACACCACCTCGGACTGGATAGCATACTGCTCACCCACTGTACCACTCCGCTCTCTCCCGGGACGGGGAGGGGGGAGGGGGCCGAGGTTCACAGCGACACGTGCAAATGTTATTCGCCTCTCTATGCCTCGGAGAGGTTTTCTCTTAGCTCCTCCGCCCGCCCACCCCGCAACCTAGCATCCTGAAGTATTTCAACCAATCAACCAACTTAACGACAAGCAGAACCGCCTGAACCGGACTCGCCTGAACCTCACTCGCGTAAGCACGTGGAACGCAGAGACGACAACTTTTCAACCAGCCGTACTGAGGTAATCGAGGTACGCGGGCGCATCCGCTTTAACAATCCAATTCTATCATTTCACCAAAAAGGGAAAATATTGTCTGACATGACCAACCAGCTTGGAAGACATCGCTCGACAGACATCGAAACATATATCCACAGCACGCTTCCTGATTTAGATTGCGTGCGACCTCTGCGACCTACATTTTTGAGTTCAAAGTAAGGAATTTCAAAAGCTGCTAGGCGACCCAAGGACAGTTTTACTGATCTGCTCTGGCATGTAAAAGGACACACACCACACAATATAGCTCAGCACTGCACACGCTAGCACACAATCTACAGACCGTCAGAACAGATGGACTGACATACCCCGAGTAGGGACGCGGGTAGTTGGAAGCGGCGCTAGCAGCTGCACCACCAATCGCCCTCTGGCGGCGATAACTGGCCTGCAGGCGGGAGGCGCGATGCTGTTAATACGGATGTGAGCACATGCACACACGTTCCACCAACAAGGGAAGAAGGCAACCACATGCAAATCCAAGAGATTTACATGCGGCCTAATCCCTCCTTAAGAGTCGTGCGCCGCATCAGCATCCACCATTATGTTGGTACTATACTGCATCGTGCCTTGTCTTCCGTGTAAAAAAGCCACCAGCTCACAACACTGCATAACTGAACGACAACATGCATTAAACAAGTGTTGACGGACAGCAGCAGCGCTGCCCGACCCTGTGTTCACACCTCCCAAGGGGGACGGTGGAGTCGAACAACAACAACAACAACGATAACGACAACTGCAATAACGATAATAGCGACAATAACGACAAACAGAGGGTTAGCGCAATGTCTCGCGACCTTACAAAAATAGTACAAACGTATGCATGTATGTATGTTCTGCTGCGTTCACAGCAAAAGAGAACCGCCACTGTAACGCACACATGCACACAGTTTGTCCGAAAGCAAAACTACGCAACCACACAAACAGCTTAACAGCTTTTTAAAAGTGCCGATAGCGCCCAAAGCCTCATTGATGCCGAGCTGTGAAGTCCCGGCAGCTTCCAAACCCTATGGCTCTGCTCGCAAGCGTAATGGGCCCAGAGCCCAAAGCGGGCGCGGCACCCCAAAACAAAACGCATTCGCATGCAACAAGCGACATACGCGTTACATTGAGGGTAACTGATGCAGTAGCCGCAGTAGCCGCAGTAGCAGATAGCATTCAAGCGGGAAGCGCCGTCATCGGCAGCATCAACATCGGCACTGAGCAACACTACACTACACAACACAACAGTGCACCACACCGCCCAAAGGACACATCCACCGCTCTGCAGACACCTGCGACACAACGGAAGCACACTGCCAACAGCACTCGTAATCAAAAAACTGCGTTGACATCGCGGCAATAAGTGGCACGGCAACATTTCTTCGCTCTGCCGGGATGAGCTCATAAAAGGTGCCGAAAAAAGACGTATTCAGGGCATACAAATAGAACCAGATGACTTGCAAACTTTCAAAGAGTCAAGTAGATTTGCTTGCTGTATTTACACGCCTCATAATCGCATGACCGCCACAGCTCAGCAAGTGGGTGCCAACATTGAGTAGTGTGAACAACTTTATCGGTCCACTGTTAAGTACAAAGGTAGGTGCAACCGCCCCCACACGCGCTCTAGATATATAGGCCCTTCTGTGCTATCCTGCTTTCAAAATCGCCAATGGACGCCTTCCCAGCCTTTTGCATTAGTTACAGCAGCTGGAGCAAAGGCAGCTCTACAACACCTACAGCAGCAGACCAACAGCAGCAGCACCTACAGCACCTACAGCAACAGCTGACTAACCTCCCCCCAATAAACTCACCTAACCTGCCTAAAGTCAAAATTCGATGAACCTCCTCCCACTACTACTCCTGTTACCGCCGTAGTCCGTCACCCAAGCCGAGTAGTAGCGGACCAAGGGCGCTATGGCTACCACTTCCTTCTGCCCCCAAATATATAGAACCAGCAAATGAAAGACCTCTCGACAGGGGTACCAGTACCAGTGCGGCACAGCTCTCTGTCCTTCCCTCCGGCCCACCTCCATCTCAGCTCTATCTTCACAAATCAAGGACCTGCTGGGGCTTCACACGCTCCCGCGACCAGCCTCTAGCAGCGGCATTATACGTTCGCGTATCCCTGCTGTTGCGGCGCACGACCTACCAGCTACAACCGCCACCAACCATCACTAACGACAACTGCCTGCTCGTAACCAAGGAGGCCAAAACTGGCCGCAACAGCAAACTCCATTCCATGTCCATTACCGCCTAGACCTTTGGGAGGGAATGTACTAGAAGCATATCTTAGGGTGGGCAGCCCGACTGCGTGCGAACGCGCGTCATCGCCGCACCGCCCTGGGTTACATGTACACTAATAAATGGCTCTCATCGAGACGGTACCCGTCGTACGGCCTCCAGTTGAGCCAGTTCATGACCGCCAACTCCGCCGCGCATAGGTCCCCCGGGGTTGCAGCGGCCAGGTGGGACAGAACCACCCCCCCTGGGGCATCGCGGCGCTTCTCCTCCAGCTTGATGCTGACCTGCGGAAGAAAGGAAGAGGACAGTACGAAACAGGTTTCGGGGCGGGATTCAAAACCTGAAGGGATACCTTACGTGAACTCAGCATTAAGATGGCTAGCGTAAACTCATCTGCCATCAACGAACAACTGAAAAAAGTAATCGCATAGCATGCATGAACAAATCATAAAGCCTAAAGCAACGAAGGAAGCAGGTCAAGAAATGTCTTGGCAAGAAGGCAATTACTTACCCACAGGCACGCTGTCGCGTAGAGTTTCTTGCCGGCAGGGGCAGATGGCCACAGCCGCGTCGCATGGTGCAGCTGAGGCAGCTCAGAGACTCGCCGCCAGCAGTGGAGCGAAAGACGTGCCGTATCTGGCTCGCTCATACCTAGACACTTAATAACGTGCAGAATCCAATCCTCGGGGCCCAGCGACCCCAGCTGGGGCGGCGTCGAGGGCATGGCAGGAAGCGCCGGGGACGGCGGCCGCACTCGCCGTTGGCTTGACAGCCGTAACTTCCCACGCTGCTGCTGTTGTTGAGGCTGTTGTTGAGGCTGTTGAGGAATGATCTGCAACTGTAGCTGCGAATCGGAATGGCCCCGGACAGCGACCCGTGTGCCGGCCGCACCAAGCTGTGCCACACAGCGCACGGGCTCCCGGAGGCTGCTGTAGCCGGGCGTCTGCAGCTGCGAGGCCACAAGTACTGACGACGGCTGTTGCGCCTGCAACAGACGAGGCTGAACATGTACAGTCGCCGTCTGCGCCATGGCGGCATGGAGGCCGGAGGCAGCGGCAGCTGCTATAACGGCAGTGCTACCGACAGCATTGCTCAATGCGGCGTAGGCTCCCCCCGCGGGCAACCCGGGGGCCGCCACTGGCGCCAAAGAACCCATCCGCGCAGCAGCTGCGTCGCTCATGGCCAAGGCCGAATTAAGGAAACTAGCAGGCAAGCTGCTAGAAGAAGGTAAGGATGATGGCAAGCTGCGTGCGATCGTGGGTGCAAGTGTTGGCGCCGCTGCTGGCGCAGCACCTATGCTGGTGCCGGTAAAGATAAATGGCAGAGATAAGCTACCACCAATCGCGGATGATACGCACAAGTCCGCGGCAGTGCTGTTAACGTTGTTGTTACCGCTGCTGTTGTCGTTGCGTGCAGGGCAGCTTTGCAGTCTCTCGGGGCCAGAAGCACGCAGAGCGGCAGTCGTTAGCGAGATGTTTGGCAAAGGCGGTGGCGGCGGTGGCGGCTGCACGAGGGACATAGCCATGTTGCCCAACGTGTTCGCGTTGCAGACCAGCGCGGGCTGCAGTGCCACGAGCTGAACCAATTGCTGCTGCAGCTGCTGCTGAAGTTCCTGCATCGGCGGCAGCTGCGGCAGCTGCAACGGTTGTTGATGTTGCTGCGGCAGCCATGATGACACGGAAGCCAGCTGGCCAAGCCCAGCAGAAGCACCGTTGCAAAGCGGCATTTCGGAAGATGACCCACCAGCGAGAACAAAGTTGCTAGCAAGATCTGGCCGCATCGGAACCGCGGTCTGAACGCCGAGGCCATTCGAAGAAGGCAAGCCTCCGCCGACACAAAACGACGAAGTCTTCGAATTCAGATTTGCAACACCGCTTGAAGAATGCCGCAGCAATGAATCCAGCGTACAAACATGTTGCGATGGCGTTAGGCTGAAAGCCAGCTGTGCAGACGTTGCCTTGGCAGATAGGCTAGAGTTGTATGCTTGCATTGAGGCGCCTGTCTCCGTGTGAAGCCGAATGCGCTTGCATCTATAATAAGAATCTTGCATTGCGAACAGCCCTGATGCCAGCTCGCCTGGAAATTTCTCGCCATGGCCAAGAAGCCCGCCTGCTGGACCGGGGGAGCAAGGTTGGCTGCTCATGCAGCTCGCCGGACTGTATCCATCATTCCAGCAGTCGCGGATGACAGGCGCCCCAGCTGCCCAAAGGCCGTCGGATGCTGCGTCACTAGACAGCGTCATCGGTACGAGCTGTAAGAGTGAAACCGGTTGAAGATGTGTCTCAGCTGCGCATTGACATGGCACAGTGTTCCTGGTCGCAGCGCAGATTCTATCCTGCGCATTGGGGACACGCGCAAGCACGAGGTTCTCAAAAGCGCACACGACCCTCAAACGTTGATGGCCTGCGAGCAGGCCCTAAGCTTCAGAGAGCTGGGTTGATTATAATGCAGTTTATTTCTCCTTTCAATTCAGCTATTTACAGAAATCACAATGCTCCGAGTCGAACCCAACGCAACAGTGAAGGAATCCGTAATCCCGACAGAAACACCACCAGGCAATCCTCCCCACCACTTACCTTCGGCTATTAAAATTTCGTAAGCTGTCAAAGAGCTGATAGGGCCAAGAAGTCAGTGTACGTGACAACACTCAAGGCAGCGGGAAGTTGGATTTTTGACCTTCAGGTGGACAGCAGGTCACTCACGTAGCCTTGAAAACAATCGCTTTTGAAAGAAACGCAGTATGAAGGCACCTGACGAAGGGCGTTTTGTCGAAGCTTTCAGCTCCCCAAACAGATGATAATTATCTCGACTTGTGTAATGATTTCCAAAGAGGCGAGTGACTGATGAAGATGGCGGTCTGCGTTTAATAAGTCCGTCTTCACGGTTGCTTCGTGCCGCAGTACGACTGCGGTCGGAGTACCGGTCTGTAATTTTTCATTTCGTGAGGCGCGATACATACGAGATGAATAATGCCCCAGAAGGTGACCAATCGTGTCTTTTTGTAGGTGATTGTAGCTTCCATGCGCTCTGGACGGGCATGCAAGTTTACAATGAGGAAACGCCCCAACGTCTCCCAAATTCGCATTGACCACTCAAGGACGCCCCAACGCGTATTGCAAAGAAAATAGTTATTTTTTATTAATTGTAGTCCGGCTATCTTTGTTTCCCCTGCTATCTGAGTTGACTTCTAGGCAACCACCATTTCGAGTCGAACACAATCCATGCCAAATTTGCTTAACCCATTATACCTCGCTATATAGGAAAGTGGTTTTTTTAATCCCGCATGGCGCTTGTGTGGATATGGACTCGAAAGTTGCTGGACACTACCGAATGGACGAACTTGAAAGCGTGAGGGTTTGGGTACCTAAGGGTCAAAGGTAAACACGTTGCGTCATTTCTCATGAGGAAAAGTGTTCTCCTTGTAAGCCTAGGCAACATTTGGAACGTGCCAGCCCTCTGCGTTACGGAACTTTACAAACACGAAACTAGATTGATATTCTTCGGCTTATCTAAAGTCGTCGCTTATATATAACATTTGGTGCATAATCTGTGCCTGTGTTGCATACCCGCGACCTGCTTGGTGTTGGCTACTCTAGACCTAAATGTAGAGCTGCTTGTGCTGCATGATCATACCATAATGCGATCAAAGATGATGAGTGGTTGGTTTTCAGGAGCTCCGCTTTCACGTTCCGCGAAATGCCAGTAGGGTTAAGGAAAGGAATGCGATGGTGGACTGCCCGTGCAAATGTTAGACCGTTGTTCCTGTCACAAGGAGGTCGAAGTTACCGCCTCTTCGGCCCCCTACCTCCTGGTACTTGTTTTAGGACGCGCGTCTGATACCTAGTGGGCCGAGCGCCGCGTGGCCACGTATCTGCAGAAGCTTCTGTTAATGCAAGCGGGGGAAAACTGCGGGAAGTGGCGGCGAAAGTCTGGAGGGTAGGCAGACTGCGACGAACTTTCGTCCCATCAACCGTTGGGGCATGTTGCTAAAGTCTCTCTGCCTAAGTTCGCCTTACAACCAGCTGGAGGGAACACCTCGGCCTTTCCACCGTGCTCAAACCCCAACCGCCGTGGATGGGGGCGAGGAAGGGGAGGTCGAAAATATGCACGCGCGTTGTGTGCATTCATTTGTCCATTCCCTTATACAGATGTTTCATCCACTCAACGTTGTTTAACTTATTTTAAGTCGCAGCGTGAGGATAAGCGCGTGTGCCGACAGATAGAGATGGACAGGGCAACGGACTCACAGGCAAACAGTCAGCTCTGTATCAGCTATGTAGCGGTTAGCTCATCCGCTTTCTAATCTCCATGACTTGTGAACAGGCTCAGCAAGAGCTCAATTTCGCACCTTCGACCATGCAATGCGCCAACACATGCACGATGCAAATGTCGTCCACTCTCCTATACACACACATAGCACCTTCACCAATTTCTACCGTGGCCTGATCAGCATGCCCGTACGACGGGCGTGGGCAGGGGTGGGGCGGGATGGACGGTAGACACCAATTTTCGTTTCAACCAGCGTGTGACTTTCACCTCAGATACACCGTGGCCACATTTCAGGTAGGGGCGAGAAAATTAGTTCGTTTTGTTGTCTGTAATACTCGTCTTCTTCGGGCCTCTCCGTCCTTTTCTCTCTTCCATTATGCGTATCAGAAAATGGCACACATTTGTCTCTCAAGCAACAACTAATCGCCCATCTATCCACAACCCCTTGGTGGCTGTGGAACCGGTGAGCACATCGCTGTTACATCGCCTGGATAGTTTTCCAGTATCTGCAGTTAGCCGATAGGGGCATTTGGATTCAAATACCTGTGGTGCAGCATATAGCTTAGCATTATAACAGCTTATGTCCTCTTGCGGTTCCCCTCACGCACAAAGATTGCCCCCGATATAGCTTCATGACAAGTGGCGGACGGGCGGGTTCGCGTTCCTTGCTTCGTCAGTTGCTTAGTCGCCGGCCTGCCAGTTGTGCACTGCTGGACTGGCAGACTAAAAGGCTGCACAAGACAGCTATTTTGTAGTCAACGAATGAGCATATGCATCAGGCCAGGTGGTCAGAGCAGTTTCCTCATATGCACTGCTGGGGGTGATGCAATGCACCAGCTGGGTGACGTGTCCAGTATACCCCGCACCTTCGCATCCGCTGCGGCTGACTGTTGTTCATTACGAACCCAAGCCTGGTCCGTAACAAGCGTCAATTTTACATAGAGCATCTTCCTACGTTTCTCGTCATAGATTGAGTTTTGAGCAGCGCCTTAGCGCAATCCGGCATAACCTATCTCGTTGCAATATTTCACATATACCATGCCTTTGCCACCCGCCATTGTTTGACCATTTTCACAATCCTTAAAGCTATACTAAAGCAACATTTCGTTGGAGGCATCGCCAGCTTAGTCGATGCCTAATTTGATGCTGGCGGCACCCACGTGCTCCCAGTTGGATGCTTCTATAGGTCAGTTGTCTGATGTTTGGGTCTGACCCAGCAGCTGATAATCTAAGCATAGGAACGACATTACCCTGGAGGGTTGTCGGCGCCTGAGAAAACCATTACAACGTCCTTGGGAAACTTACTCGCACAGAGGCCGAGTAGAAGCTTGCAAGGAGAATACGTTTTTTATTTTTTATTTCACATGAGGACATTGGGTTTTCTCATAGACTGCGCTATTCGCGACTCGACAAATGATGATGACCTACACCTTTTGAAGAGACCATCACGTGACCGCCGTCTAGACTCGACTATCCTAACTCTAAAACGCATAACCGTTTTCATTCCAGGTATAGCGCTGTGTTATGCACACCTGTATGTACCGCTGGGATTGCTGCCTCTCGCTAGGGATGGAGTTGGGCCCTACCGCGTGCGCCTATGCCTTCGGGGTATCCCAATCCAACGGGCATCAGGGTTTGCACATCAATCTCTGGAAACACTAAACAATACAACGAAACTACTGGCAGTTGTCAATTGATTTAGGTCCTCCTTGCCGCGTGATTCTGCACTGTAAGCTTCCAGCAGGGCCCGGGAACAGTACCGAGCCCCGAGGGATTATATATGCGAAGGTTTCAACACGTGTGAGGCATCACATAGTATTGATGGCGGCTCGCAATATAGCGCGGGGCATAATCGGCAAACCCTAGACCATCGGCAGGCCTGTATAGTGGACCCCGATCGGGCCGAATGCAACGCTCAAAGGAACGCCTCCTGGACAACACTGTGGGCCTTATTCAAAACGGTAGCCGGCCAGGCCGCACTAACTTCACGCTCAGCTAGTACGTTGAAACGCAAAAAAAGCAATGCCACCGTAACAGCTCCATAATCGTCATCACCGTAATGTTTTGAAGTTAGTTAACGAGCGCGTGTGAGACCGTGTCGTAACTTCGGAGCTAGCGGAGCTTGAACTTGTGTGTACGATGTGTGAGGTTGTGGCGCGCTAGCATGACTATTTAATCGGACCAAATTATGGACATTGTAAGCCTAAGTTGAGATTGAAATCCCGATCCTCTGTGCAAAGTATTTCGGCGAGTAAAGTCAGCTTAAGCTTCCCAATTGTTAGGAGCAGGCCTGGTTCTCTTTCAAGTGGTATCGAGACTGTATCGAGACTGTAGATAGCACCCTGAAAGGAGTGCCGGCGGGAGGAGTGGGGCTGGGAGGTGGTGGTCGCTGCCAAGAGGCGACGAAAAGCTCCGGGCAGTGTGATGATTCGTCCCCACACTGGAGGCAGACGTGCTTAACCATGCGCTGTAGACGCAAGTTGTGGGGGACCCCGATGGTTTTGACGCCGCTCGGAAGCAGCGGCTTGCTGTGGTGCGGTAGTGTAGTGTAGACGTCAGCGGTTAGGTCCATGGGGTCGTCCTGGCGGGTATCCCGTGAGCTGCGTGTTAGGGTAGTGTGGTCAATGAGGTGCGCATTGTGGCGTCCCGAGAAGATGCCCATCGCCAAGTCTATGATTGTTTGAAGGTTGGCGTTGGTCCCGTATTGTGGAAGCCTAGCGTAGACTTCTTCGCGGAGGTCCCTGTTGAGACCCTTGGCGAAGTGGAAGACATGATCCAACTTTTGGCGGTGGGGTATGTCGCCCAAAAGTTGGACCACCAAGCTGGACCTCTGGTCAGGCTACCACCAAGTCCACGAACCAGACGTGCACAAAACAGCCTTTCGGTGTAAGTATGGTCTGTACGAATGGCTTGTTCTTCCCTTCGGACTTACAGGAGCCCCCGTCACCTTCATGTCCCTGATGAACGATGTTCTCCGACCGTTCCGCAACAAGTGTGCGGTTGTGTACCTCAACGACGTCCTCATCTCCTCCCGCACCTTCGAAGACCATTGCCGCGACGTGGAAGCCATCCTCCGCACACTCCAAGACCACCACTTCCACGTCCGCCTTACCAAGTGCTCTTTTGCACAACCATCCACCAAATTCTGCGGATTCATCATCTCCCGCGACGGCATCACGACAGACCCTGACAAGCTCACTGCCCTTGCCAACTTCCCCATTCCCACCTCGATCACCGACGTTTGCGCCTTCCTAGGTTTCACTGGGTTCTACCGCCGCTTCATTAAAGATCACGCCCGCATCGCCCTTCCTCTTACAGCCCTCACCAAAGCAACCCAGCCGTTCCCCAAGACCCTACCCACCAACGCTGTCGCCGCCTTCCATGCTCTCCACGACGCCCTACTGTCAGTCCCGGCCCCCATCATCCCTGACACTGGCACCAACGCCACCTTCACCCTTTATACCGACGCCTCCATCCTCAGCATTGGCGCTGTGCTCCTTCAAGAGCGCAACGGTGCCCTACATCCCGCGGTGATTGAGTCCCGTAAGCTCAGCCGTCACGAAGCTAACTACCCCATCCACGGGCTGGAGTTGCTTGCTGTATTACACGCAGTGTGTAAGTTTCGGTGCTATCTCAGGGCTGCCCCTTCACGCTCTGCACATGACCACGACACCTTGCAACGCTTCTGTACACAGAAGGACCCCTGTCTCGTCGTCAAGCCCGTTGGGCCCAGCTCCTCGCCCCATTCCAAGGCTACATCACAATAACCTATCGCCCTGGCCCACAAAACATGGCGGACGCCCTCTCCCACTTTCCTGTCAGTCCAGCCCCTAACCCAGAGCCCTCTGACCCCAGCCCCTCACTACCCACTGCAACAGCAGAAACCCTAACCTCCACTACAGCTCCCCCGCTTTGGCCCTCCACTTCACCACCTGTCGACGTCGCAGCCAACCATGCCCTCCATCACGCTTGTTTTACCATCGCAGCCCATGTCATACCAGACCCCAGCCTCGCTGACGACATCCGTTTCGGATACACCGCCGACCCTATGTACTCCAATCCGACCGCCATCCAACCTTACCTCCAACGCTCCCCAGACGGTTTCTTCTATTTCGCCATTTTACGCATGCCATCCCCAACGTCCCATCCTTACACCGCTGCCTACTTCACGAGTTCCACGATGCTGCTTACTCTGGACACCCTGGTTTCCGTCGCCCCCTCGTGGCAATATCCACCCGCTACTGGTGGCCTTACATGGCCCGTACCATCAAAGCCTACGTCAAGTCCTGCCCCATCTGTCAACGCGCCAAGCCATCCACCCAGCCTCCGCCTGGCCTCCTCCACCCGCTACCTACACCCACCCACCCATGGACACACGTGTCTCTGGACTTCATCACCGACCTGCCGCCCTCTAAAGGTTTGGACGGCCGCACCTACACCGTACTCCTCACCTTGGTCGACATGTTCACCAAGCAAGCCCACTTCACACTCACCAATATAACCACCACCACCCACGACACCGCCCTACTCTTTTTGTAGCTTAGATGCGGCAGGAGCAAAGCGAGTATAGCCTCTAAGCTAGGTTATGTACGGCAGCCGTATGGCTTGCTGAGAATTCGAATTTACTATTTCAGCTGACAGCTCCATAGTTCCGGCATTCTGCCTACACTATTGGAGCTTATTATTATTGTTGCTCTCACTTTTATCCAAGACCTTACCGACTACCCTCAAGCCTCATCGACGCTCTACCACAACGAATCGACATCGCCGCGGACCTGTCACTCTCCGAGGAACAACCAGGAGCTCCGTCACAAAAATCAAAAAATGACGGGTAAGAGGACAAAGGCAACGGGAGATAACCTGGTCAACGCAGGAGCGGCCGAAGCAGCCGGCGAAGGGGGATCGGGCCAGATGCTGCCAGCCAACCAAAACGACATAGAAGCCGCCAGGGATACTTTGAGCGGGAACATAGACCAGCCGACTCTTCACCAGCTGCTGCTGGGCGTCCTGTCAGCAGCGCAGGCCAACGCGCCAAAAGCGCCAGCCAGGGATCCCCGGACAGCACCGCCTCGGGATCGCTCTCCTGACGTTGTCATCACAAAAGACGTGACCATCATGCCATCCGCAAGAGAACAGCTAGCAGCAATAAGGACGGAAGTTCAAGCAAATGACGCACCGAAGCTGACAGCACCACACGAGCAGCGGGAGCAGCTCGACGAAGGAACGCTAATGCTGCTAGAGACCGCCATCA